ACATAAAGTAGGTTCAGCAGTTGTGAGTACCAGAGGGAAAAAAGGTTGATCCAGTGTGTGGAGCATAAAATGGAAAATTGACATAGGGCAAAAAGTAAAACAAATTATTACAGAATATATACATACTCGCACATGAGACACACATATTTATTTTAAATGGTTGCAGATAAAGTTCCCTTAGAAAAAGTTATTTTGCCAAGTTGTGTTTCCTTTGTACTATGAAGAATTAATAAAGGATTGCTAATTCTTAGGAATTTGAGGATTTTGAGTCTTTGAGGATTTACTTGAGGAAGTCACTGGAATTTCAGTAAGGGCTATTCACTAGTCCAGTGGTCCCCACCCTTTTTAGCACCAGGGACTGGTTTCATGGAAGATGATTTTTCTATGGTCTCAGGTGGGAGGTGGGTATTTCAGGATGATTCAAGTGCATTTCATTTATTGTGTACATTATTTCTATTATTGTTGCAACAGCTTTACCTCAGATCATCAGGCATTAGATCCCAGAGGTTGGGGACCCCTGTTCTACAGGAATCTTCTTGAACAACAAAGGGCAGTTGAAGAGAAAGGTAGATGATGAAAGAAGTGACAGGAATGAGTGTTCTTTTGAATAAAAGGACTTTGGGAAGGAGGTGGGTAGCGAGGTATAGAGGGTTTGTTTTGAAGGACAAATTTAGTCGTAAATAATATAGTGTGGCATTAAGATCATGGACTCCACGACCAGCCTGCTCTATCCCTCACTAACTGGGTGATCTTGGCCAAGTTACTTAACCTGTTTTAGTTTCTTAGTCTGAAAAATGGGGAATAATAAAGCTGATAGTACTTGTCCCATAGGTTGTTGAGAGCATTAAGTTACTATATAAATATAAAATATATAAAGCTAATATGGGCCAGTGTCAGGTACTGAACACAATGTTGTTGTGGCGGTTCAGTTGCTAAGTCGTGTCTGCCTCTTGAGACTCCATGAACTGTAGCCCATGAGGTTCCTCTGACCCATGGGATTTCCCAGGCAAGAACACTGAAGTGAGTTGCCATTTTCTTCTCTGCAGGATCTTCCCCACCCAGGGATTGAACCACGTCTCCTGCATCACCAGGCAGGTTCTTTGCCACTGAGCCACCAGGGGGCACCATGACTGCTGGTTATTATTGTTAACTTAACATTTTAATTTATGAAAGAATAAACCATCTTTCTTCAAACACACCTGTGATCCTAAAAACCAATACGTTCTACCTCCTTTCAAATCCTTTAGTTTGGGGGATGGGATGGGTTAAGAAGTAAGAGATGAAACTAAGAAAAGCAGGAGATAAGCAAGGAAGTGAATCGTTTTTATTTTCTATTAAGACTTTATCCTCTTATTCAGAATAACGTGTACCTTTCAGATTTTGGTAACTAAAAATTAAATTTCCTAGTTTGCTGTATATCGAGTTAGAAAATAAATTCCTTGCTAAATACATTAAAGAAACTTTTGAAGGCATTTTATAGAAAATTATTATGCCATTAATAATAAGTTAATCAACATATGGGCTTCCCTGATGGCTCAGAAGGTAAAGAATCTTCCTGCAATTCAGGAAACCCAGGTTTGATCCCTGGGTTGGGAAGATCCCCTGGAGAAGGGAATGGCAACCCACTCCAGTATTCTTGCCTTGAGAATTCTAAGGACAGAGGAGCCTGGTGGGCTACAATCCATGAGATCCCGTAGAGTTGGAAAGGACTGAGTAACACTTAACACACAGGCAGTATTTTTCATTGCTTAACGGCTTTCATTTGTTGCTTTTATGAAGCTACCTAGGTTAGCTTTAAAATACTGTTTTTTTGTGATTATAATTCTAAAAATATCAGTTTAGTAAATGGTTAATGTATGCTGCTGCTAAGTCACTTCAGTTGTGTCCAACTCGTAGCGACCTCATGGACTGCAGCCTGCCGGGCTCCTCTGTCCATGGGATTTTCCAGGCAAGAGTACTGGAGTGGGGTGCCATTGCCTTCTCCAAATGGTTAATGTATATACATGCCCAAATAGATCATTCTAAACACAATTAAGAAAATGTTGAAATCTCATTCCCAGAGTGAATATTTGTACTAAAAATTTCCCCCAACTGTTCTTCACCAGAAAAGAAAGTATACTGTAGATGAAACCTTGAGATTCATCAATCTGGACAGCGTCTCAGGAGTGGAGATATTTGAGTACCAGAGCAGATTCTCAGAAGAAAGAAAAAAAAAAAAAAAAAACCCTCGTAGGTAAGATCCATCTTCCTGGACCTAGGAATAAGGATGTGCCTGGGCACTTTCAGGTATGGGAAAAATTGATTATTAGATTTTTTGGCTATTAGAAAGCTCAGTTGACAGCCTAGAAATGAGCAGAATGTGTTAATAACTGTCTGGTAAGTGCTGATTTGATTCTAGGAATTCAGTTTTGCGTCTTGAGCACAGCCCTGGAATAGCATGAAAATTCCAGAAAGTTTTACCACACTTAACCCTTCATCTGGCACTGAGCATGTTTAGGTCTCCTTTTGGAGAAAGGCTTTTCTCAGAAATGGTCTATGTTATGAGAACTGATCAGTTAGTCAACAAGTATTTAGCAGTCTCTTCATATTTTAGCATGGTGCAGAATACAGATACAAATGCCGACCCTAAGATGTAGTTTTGAAATCACTGCTAATGTTAACCACCTACAATTTGGAAATAACTTTGCTTTACATAAGCTGGTTTTTCGTGACTTAATCTAAATTTCTGGCTTTTTTTGGTCTAGAACTGCTCAGGAATAATATGAAGATGACTGTTACTTAGGTTTTAAGGAGGGCTTCAGGTCAGAAGAAGAGGGGTTTTGGAGAGGAGGACTTGTGATTGTCACTTAAAGGTCTTTCTTTGCTTTGCTTTGAGGACTGTTGCCCTGGAAGTGGACATTTGCCTTCTCACCCATGAGAAGTAAGGGGTGGCAGGCTGCTGAAATTAAAAAAAAAAAAATCTAAAATTGGGTCAGCGGTTTGACTGCCAAACTAACAGAGAAATCCCATGGACAGAGGGTCTTCCTTTGTGGTTCATTTGGTAAAGAATCTGCCTGCAATGCAATCCCTGGGTTGGGAAGATCCCCTGGAGAAGGGAAAGGCTACCTCCTCCAGTTTTCTGACCTGGAGAATTCCATGGACTGTATGACGTTCATGGGCTCACAAAGAGTCGGACACGACTGAGCGACTGAACAACAACAAATGTAAGACAGCAAAAAAGTAAATGGTTGATTCGTGAAACCCCCTACTCTTATAGCCTGGAGGCCAGGATTAGGTTGTGAGCCGCTGAAGTGGGCAGTTCACTTAACCCTGCATGAACTGGGATCATTGTTGAGGATCACAGTCAGCATGTCCCTTTTTCCTTGATGCTTCTCTGCTAAGATGCTGTGGATTCATAATAACAGCAGGCGATTCCAGATGGCAACTCCACAAGACGCTTATGTGGCCCCTCCTCAGATGGAGAGTTGGTCCTTGTGCCTGTGAAGCTAAGGGGCATCCTGTAGAACTCATTTCCTCACTCACAGACGTCTATGTGCTTACATTTGCCATGCAGCACTGTTACTAAAAACTAGCCCTATGTGGGAAACATTGGCCAGAACACCTCCAGGAATTTAATTCCACATCTGATCAGGATTCTAATTCATGACCTATTTTCATCAAAACTACTCTTGTACTGGCTCTCTGGGAAAGCTGGGGTAGAAGTAGAAAGTTTTCTGTGAGAAGGAAAAGTGAGGTCAGGGGGAGAAAGAGAAGATGAGTTTTGTGACTTGTAAGTTACTATTCAACAGCAAGAGTGCTGTTTTGCTTACAGACCTCAGGAAGGAAAAGTAGTGGCTCCAGGTACTCACAGGTGGGGCTGTTCATCTCATTGTTCCCTTCAGATGGAAAGTTACTCCTGTGTTGAGTATAGTTCTGAGCACCTGCTGGCCACTGGACTGTTAGTATTGGGTATTTTCATGGGTCTTGTTGGGTGAGAGAGTTTATATACAGAAGTCTCATCACATTTGTCTCTGTGTATCAACATATACAAACTCATAAAACCATCTTAAACTTGTTAAATACTTGACTTTTTGGAGTTCTTTCACTTCATCTATTTCACTTGGTCTTGCAACAATTTAGAAGGTAAACAGAGAAGTATGAAAACAAAGTCATAGAGTGATTAGCCATATCATTCTTATCTCACTTGGTCACAGGGCTAGTTTGTGAGTGCTTAGTTAGAACCAGGTTCTTAAATTTCAAACTGGGGCCCTTCGTACTTAATTATGTTGATTAAAAAAAAATTCCAGTAACACAAGAGTTAGAGTAGAGTTTTAATTATGTCAGAACTGTCAGAGCTATAACACCAATTCTCACTTACAATGTATATTTAACTTTAATTAACTGTAGTTTGGTAGGGGGAAGGGTAGAATAAGAAACTAAGAAGGAAATGGCATTGCATGCAATATTATGTAAAAACATAACAAGATCTTGAAAAATGCAACGTTACATTAAGAACTAAGGAAGATCTGGAAAAAATAAACACTTGCTGCTTACTGTTTTAGAAATAGCATATGGCTTCTACCACCTGATGAATATAAGAATCAAGTAAATGCAGAGATGACCTCTGAGCATAGATGTTCAACATGGGCAGTATTTTCTGGTCACTGTTATTAATCCGGCTGAAAATGGGATAAGTGATAGGCCTTTAAATTTAAATTATAGAATTTAGAATTCTGTCCTTTACCTCATGTGTTTCTTTTTCTTAGTGTGGCTAATCTAAGTCTGTTGGACAAAAAATATTTTAACTTAAAATTGTCAAACACATTGTTTGGGGCTGTTTTGTGCCCAGAATGATTTTTTGGGATCATTTACAACATTTCACAGGGCTGAAGTTCTGTTATTGTTTTTATGCCCATCTAAAAGTACACAGAAAACTTCTTTCTTCCTGGTTTTGTTAGTTTTCAGTAAGTGATAATTTGTAATCTTTCAAAACTATACTTTAATATGATTTGTCTTTACCTAATAATTTCTTCTTGCCTCTTGAAATATTTCTGTGGCCATATTGTATATGACAGGAAAAATCTCTACACAAACAAGAAGTTCCTCCTAAATTCTCATGTATGTTTTGCTGATGATATTTAAAGGCAGATGTTAATACTGCATTTAGTTAAATAGATGAAAAATGGCTTTGGTTTCAGAATACAACTTTAGTCTATGAGGACTGAGGTCTGGCTCTATAAAGGGAAGGCTCAAAAAGCCTGTCCAATGCCACGTCTAACCTCAGGCAAGGAACATAAAACAACTCTTCAGGCCTTTATTCATCAAAATGGAATGTGTGTTTCCATTAGGAATTGTATTCAAAGAGTGAATCTGCATACTGAGAAAATTATGTAGCAGTCATCTTTCCTTAACCTAAAGATAAAATACAAATGTGGAAAAGTTCACAGCATTTCATGTCCCCTCCCCTCCCCCAACAAGACCACCTGGAGACATGGCTGAACCAAGAGGAGGTACTGTAGACCCTCAATGGGCTCAGTATTAAGAGTCTGTACAGTAACTTCGAGGTTCTTCTCTGATTAGCTGTGTTTTCTCATTTGCATTTGTGGGCTGGAGAACAACTGGGAAGTCCATATCTAAAAATAAACAAAGAAAACCAGTAAGCACCCTCTTAGCATGTTATGTCTCCTTTAACGGGGGCAAGTGGTAGATATTTTTGTTGAAGTGATGATTGGCAAGCCAATTCAATTCCTGAAGTATTGAGGATCCTGCCTTTTAAAGGGTTCAAAAGGGAGGATTTATATTGTCTTTGTTCATTTAAGTTCTATCAGTTATAAAAATTTAAAACCAAAGCACTAAATGCAACTTTCACCTCAAGGCCATTTTCTAAACCCAGTGAACTTGAGCTTTAGTTTTTACCATTTTGTGGGCATGAGGACAGGGCCACCACCCGTGTCATATAGACTACATGTAAGTCTACATGAAAAGTACTTCCTAGAGTTGTGCAGTGTACAGTTGCAAATATGGCCCTGGCTGGGAGAGAGGTCAAAACCCAGAGCTTGCTTAGGTGAGGAGTCTAATAGGAAGTTGTCCACAAAAGTAAAAGTGAAGTGTTAGTTGCTCAGTTGTGTCCGACTCTGCTACCCCATGGACTGTAGCTCACCAGGCTCCTCTGTCCATGGGATTTTTCCAGGCAAGAATACTGGAGTGGGTTGCCATTTCCTACTCCAGGGGATCTTTCCAACCCAGGGATCAAATCCAGGTCTCCTGAATTGGCAGGTGGATTCTTTACTTTCTGGGTCAACAGGGAAGCCACAAGTCTGCAGAAAGCTAGTGCCCTGAATGATTATATGGTGTCTAAATCACCATACTCCTGAATCTGCAAGGAAATGTGCTGGTCTTGAGTTTTTGTGAAGCAGGGAAGAGCCTTTTAAAAAATGATTATTGACAACTCAATGAGCACACAATTTGGCAGGCCAAACTTATAATACCTTTGTGTTCCAAAAAACCTCAAGCTGAAAATTTAGTTTAAAATGGTCCAGTGCAAACGCGCTGAGCAGAAGTGAATGACCCCAACCTTCAACCCAAGCCTTAAAGCATCCCCCACAAATTGCAAGAAATAAACTCATAGTTAAAACAGGTAGGAGAGATAAGGGGAAAGAGAAGGAGAGAGACTGAGAGAAGTGGGGGAGAGTGAGTGGAAGTTGGAAATAGAAACAGTGAACACTGGGTAAGGGCCAGTAGAAACAAGGCTAAATCAGACCCCGAAAGGCTTCAAATCCTGCACAGACACTTCAAACTCATATGTGTTGTATGTCAAGTAAACATCTCAGTGATACTGAGATTTAAAAAGGAAAATGATCACAAATGATTTAAGATAGCAGTTACCTCTGAAGAGGGAACAGCAAGCAAAGAACCTAAAGGTAATGGCAATAATCAGGTCATAATATTAGCTTGTATATGCTGGATAAGTAGAAACAATAACAGATAAAATAGTTAAGTAAATTACCCCCCAAATCTCTACCAGTAACTAACAGAGTTGGGGCTTGAAATGGGACTGTCTGATTCAAAGCCCTTTCCTATCTCAGCCACTAACAGTGTACCATTCTCAAGGTAGCTGGCATGAAGGCTGATGATCAACTTTCCCATTTCCCCACACTTGTGAATATTGATGCTTTGTGGTATCCTCTCCTCCTTGCCTCATGGGTGAATTTGCAAGAAACAAAGAACCTTCTCCTTTTCTGAAGAAAGGGTGTTTAGCTTCTTTCTGTAGTCAACTCTTGGTATACCCCTCTCCTCTACCACAGATATTTTTTAACTGAAGTGAGATTCACATAACATAAAATTAACCATTTTAATGTGAACAAGTTAGTACGTTCATAATATACTAAATATATAATTCACTGCTTCTATCTAGTTACAAAACAGTTCCCCCAAAGGAAACCCAGTACATATTAGGCAGTTGTTACCTGTTCCTCCTCTCCCCTACCCCCCCAACCCAGGCCCTGGCAACCGTCAATATGCTTTCTGCCTCTAAGAATTTGCCTATCTGGATATTTCATGTAGTTGGGGTTATACTGTATTTGTCCTTTTGCATCTGGCTTCTTTCACTTAGCATAATGTTTCCGGGTTCATTCACCCTATAGTATTTTTCAATACTTCATTCTTTTTTAAGGTTGAATGATATTTCACCTCCAGGTTTGATCCCTGGGTTGGGAAGATCCCCTGGAAACGGGAATGGCTACCCACTCCAGTATTCTTGCCTGGAGAATTCCATGGACAGAGGAGCCTGGTGGGCTACAGCTCATGGGGTCGCAAAGAGTCAGACATGACTGAGCGACTGATACCACCTTTTTGCTTTTCTTCCCCAGAACCTTCTGGGTTTTCTCTCAACTCCCTCTCCCCTCTTCTTAGTTAAATCCTACAGCTCTTGCTCTTGTCTAGCAAACTTTCCGGGATTCCAGCTGTTTTCTGCCTATCACATTTCGCTTTGATGGTATGAACCCTTGTCTGGATGTAGCCCAGTTTGGGGTTATTTGCAAATGTGATCTCTGCGTAGCTTCTACTTCATTCTATTTCTTGATAAAAACTATTCAATAGAACAGCCTAATATGACTATCCCCGCCTTGCCCAGCATCTAGAGATCCATTTACCCTCTTGTCCACAGGATACAGGGAGATTGTGTGCCAGACACTGTACCAGTATCAAGATTCCTCCCTTCTGGGACTTCCTTGGTGGTCCAGTAGCTAAGAATCCACCTTCCATTGCAGGGGATGTGGGAAACTAAGATCCCACTTGCCTGGGGGCAACTAAGCCTGCGTGCTGCAACTACAAGACCTACAGCCAAATAAATAAATAGATTTTTAAAATAAAATACTTAAAAAAAAAAAGGATTCCTCTCTTCTAGGATTCTCCATCCCCATCATCTCCTACCCCTTAACTCCTCCTCCTCCTTAAAGTTTTCAGCTCTAAGTGTCATTCCCTCTGGGAAGTGGTCCTCACTGCATCCAGGTCAGGCCCCCTAGTGTTCACTGTCACAGCCCCCGGGCTTCTCCTCTGGCAGACTTACTGCACCTCTAAGTTAACTAGCTCATTGTGTGATTATTTCTTTATTGTTGGTCTTCCCATCTCCTCTGCTAGACTGTCCGGTCTAAGACCGCAGGGACGGCATCTTTCTTTGCTCTAGCCCCTAGCAAAAAGTGCTCAATAAATGTTTGTGGTTGAAAGACTATCTTGATAAACCTGTCAAGTAAATTTGCTCACTGAACCTTAGCAGGCAAACTTTGAAGAAGCCTTGGGTCCACTTTGAACTGCTTCTAGGGCAGTATTCTGTGCTGACTCACTTGTCCTGCTCCCCAGGCCCAGGCCTTAGTGATGCTTACTTGATATTTTCATATAGAAAGTGAAAGTGTCAGCTACTCAGTCATGTCCTACTCTTTGCAACCCTGTGGACTATAGTCAGCCAGGCTCCTGTGTTCATGGGATTCTCCAGGCAAGAACTGGAGTGGGCGGCCATTCTCTCTCAGGGATCTTCCTGACCCAGGGATCGAACCTGAGTTTTTCTCATTGCAAGCAGAGGCTTTATCAGCAGTGGGCTTTGGACTAGTTACCACAGTTATTTTCCAAAAATTATTTTTAGAAATCAGATCCTTTGTATTGGGGGGTGGTTAGGAAGGGAATTGAGATTGAGTGGGATTGGTGAAAAGAGGAAGGATGAATTTAATCTCTTCCTTGGTGCCCTTTTACTGGGCAGTAAAGTGCGATGAATGCTGAATAGTAAATGTAATAAATGTCTCAATATCTTGGCTGAGAGTGAGTCTAATTACAAGCCATATGGCCTCTTTAGCTCAGTGGCTGTGAATTTATTTGGGCTTCATCCAGGTGACTGGCAGGAGCAGCTAAGCAGTCAATAGATTTTTCTCTGCACTGACTCTCACGTTTTTAGATCCAAGGTCAGCACACTGTAACGTCTTCTCCCTTAAATACCTTATTCCCTTGCCTTCAAAAAAAAAAATAGGGAAATTATGATTCCACAAGGAAATTTTACGGTTTTAATTGGTCGTTTTCAGACCAGTGCTTGGAAAAAAAAAACCTGAATTTATCTTTTGTATTTTTGGTTCTTTTTGCCAGGGTATTTAGCAATGCTAGGTTTCCATTTATGCTCTTATTTCTGTATCTCCTTCCTCTCTTCTTTCCTTCCTTTCTCCCTCTCTGTCTCTGTCTGTCTGTCTGTCTGTCCGTCTCTCTCACACAAACACACACACACACACACAAGCCTAGGGAAAGGTGTTCTGTCTCAGGATGGACTCTACAGCCCTCTTGGCTGGTAGAATTTTGACTTCATTGTATCCTTCATCTAACAGAGGAGTATAGGGTCTAGATGAGCTTGTTTTACATAAAGTGATCAAAATTTCACAAAGTAGAACTTCTAATTTGTGATATCCATTACCTTTATCTTTCAAGCTTTAAATTTTCCAAGACAAAAGGGAGGGATGGGCAACCCACCAAGATACTGTCTCTCTTCTCTTTGCTCCTAGTTGATTGATAAGAATAATAGAATTCCCCTGTGTTCCGAGAAACCCACTGGGATTTTATTTTTATTTTGAGAAAGAGATGGGAATCAGTCTACAGGTTCTAAAGTTTGCAGAGACTATTGAAGATGCCATTCTTTTGAACTTCCTTCCTTTATTTCTTAAGGGTAGAAGTTGGGTTACACCCTTTCGCATGGATGAAACAGACACAATAACCCAAGTAAATCTCTCCTCTTCACTAGCAGATGCCACCCTGTACCACTACCCTTGACCAGAAACTGTGGCGTATGTTTTTGTGGTTTGTAGCAACTCTGTATAAATTACTGCTAGCCATACTGGCATAGGAGTGGCCTTAGAGATAACTTCTGTAACTCAACATCCGAATTTAATTGCTTAAGAGACTTGAAGATCCACACCAGACATGGTGTCACACTCTATGAATGTATCCAGTGTGCTCTGACCCTGGAAGCTTTGGGTGATGGAGGGGCAACAGGGTTTCACATGTGTATTCAAACTTGGTCTGTAGAAAAATTCTTCCAAATTTTACATCATATGAAATAAGTTGGATAGGAGTTTTCTTAAATTTGACAACATCCCTAAAAAGT